AGATACGTCACACCAGGAAGTCCGACAACTTCTGATGAAGGCTGAAGTGACAGCCGAAACTGTCAACAGGATAATTATCCCGTTATCTCGAGAAAACGAACGCCGTTTTCTCGAGATAACGGGATAATTATGTCGTTATGTCGGGAAAACGAACGCCCGAGATAACGGGCGTTCTCGTTATCTCGAGAAAATGCCGTTTAAAAAAAATGTGCGGCCATGACCGCTCTCGGCTTCCGTACTTAACTTTCCAAATATTCATGTGTTCTTTTTGATTTCGTGTTGAAATCTGTGTTTTTTTCATCAATTTGCTGCTTGAGTGCCTTAAATGGTCATATGGTATGACATGAACGATATTTCATATAAATAAGAATAGGGTACTTGTTTTTTTTTTCTAACTTACTTCATCAAATATTTAAATCATGACCATTTGATATTTAATATTTTATTGTGAAAAATTGATATATTTCAGTTTATTTTAATAGATCATCAATCTTTATAGATATTTTAGATTAATTCTCTTAAACCTTGTAACAACTGTTAGAAATTGCTTGAGACTCTTGCTGACACTATTTTCCTTGTTCTCTATTGATATTTTCATGAATTACCACTAATAAAGCTGTTTTTTGTTGCGATTGTGAATGTAACACCAAATGACATTACGCCGTACGGTAAACTGCATCACACTACAATATGCATGCAAAAACTTTTGTATTTAACACAAACAAAACAATTTATTAAACAGGTTGCAAATTCATTTCAATAATAGAACTATAACATTCGCATAACCTCAGTGGTTAAATTTAAACTTCACTATTGCGCAAACTACATTAAGAAGATTGACAGAGTTGAATTTCATAGTGACAGTACATAGTAACAAATAACAGTGAAGATTACATTAATATTCCAGTAATGACATTTGAGATTTTTGTATGACTTAGGATTTTAAACATTTACTTTCAGATTCGCTCCTGTAGTAATAATAGTCATAATAATACAATGCTCTCCTGTCTGTGTCTGTTGTATGTGAACTGGCATAATCAATTTACTTTTTCCTCCTTTCCCTGAGGACTTCCTCTCTCCTTACAGGGTCTGCATTCAGTCTTTCCCTGTACCTCCGTACCTCCTTGCTGGACATACTGTATCTGCCTCCCTTTTGACAAGAAATGCAGGAAAACAATCTTTTTATACGCATAGAATAGAATAGAATAGAATAGAATGCCTTTATTGTCACTATACACAAGTACAATGAGATTAAGAGCAGCTCCTTCAGTGCCATACATAATAAGTACAAAATAAAGAGCAAAAAATGAAAAATAGAAGAGATTTAAGTATAAAAAATCAGATAAGTTATATATA